ATTTTGGCTCCTGCATTTGAAAGGTATCAAAACTAGCAGAGCACAAGATGTTAGAGAGTCCATTTTCAAACTATTCTGTAAATTTTACCAATGACTATGGAGATAGAAGCGTGTCCTATCATAGCTCAGGGTTTGTTGTCATCATTTTCTTTTCATGTCTTAAATCATAATAACACTGCCATGGCTCCTCTGACTCACACAAAACCCCCGAAATGAGAAGAAAGTAGCATGTCCTTTGAGAGGGTAGAACACAGAGTAAGTGTTACCAAATGGAGAAGAATAAGCAAGGCAGGATCTCTAGCCCCTTGGTAAGGCTGGGTCTGCTCAATGCTGATAGCTGTGGGCAATGGGCAACAAAGTGAGGTCGGTGTGTGTTTGTGTCAATATGTGTATTTGTGTGTCTCATTGTTTAGCATAATTCCCATTCACACCTTTCTATCCTATTTGAAAGACTTGGGTCTTTAATGAGCACCTGAATCCCTCATTTAGAAAATACCATCACTATATGAGCAAGGATAATATTGTTCAATAGTGTTCCTCTGTGGCTATGTTAACAAGCATTTGATTCCTGAGAAGATGGTTTTGTCTTAAATGAATTTGGTTAAAAAGGAGGGCAGGCTGCCTTTAAGACATATGGGTATGGTTAGTTTTACTGTGGTGCCCTCTAGTGCCAGGTGAGATTAAGTTAATTTCTGTATTGCCCATCTTGAGAGCCCATGCAAGAAGGAAAATGTGGAGAATCAACAGGTTCACAACTGCCCTAGTTGGCATAAATTAGAACAAATCAAGTTTCCCAAAATGATTTACAAGCTCCTTTGCCACCCAGGCCTGCCTAGATCTTCAGCTTCCTCTCCTACCTCCATTCTCTATGAACACTCAATGTCAGCCATGTTGAATGACTTGTTATTGTGCCCACCCTCCCCCATCTCTCCTGTCTGTGTAGGAAATTCCAGTCTTCCCTCTAACATCAATTGAATTTTGTTATCTCTTCCCTCGGTTCTCCTGACTTCCCCCACACATACCCAGACATCCACTCCTCTTCCTGTTGTTCCTTGAGCAAGTCTTCTCATGTCTGTCACCTTTTTGCCTCACTTTAAATCTTAACCATTAATTCAAAGATTATTAAGACAAAACAAGTAGCAATTTATTATTATTATAAAGCTTCAAACAGTACCCTATACAAAAAATATTACTCAGAAGGAATGTAAGGATGTTTTAACTGATAAAAAGAATTCTAGTACAGGAGTCAAAACTATCTAGTTAACTAAGTATACAGGTGAAAATGAGCAATTTACCTGCCTTCTTTGGATTTTTTTTTTTATAAAAGACTGTGGCTAATACCTACTCAAAATCCCAGGATCTTTGGGCCATTTCATTAATACCCACCATCAGAGCCTCAAAATTCTTTATGATGAATTAATTTAATACCACAGCTGTTATTTTCCTTGATTCTCAAGGAGTTGCTCAGAAAAAGCAACTTCTACTTGCATTTGAAGTTATTTTATACATATGGTTGAATAATTTCTAAGAAGAAGATACACGTAGACATTTAAATTAAGCTAATTCTAGACAAAGAATTAAGGCAAATTCCTCTTTCCAGTATTTAACAATACAAAAATAAATTGCTGAGGTTAAGATATGAAACATCACCAAGAAACTGAGTTCTAATTCTGGTTCTCCTCGGCACAAACCACTTCTGCTTTTCCCAGCACAAACAAGCAACAAGAAGGTGGGATTTGCTAAGGAAAAAGTCCTTGACTCTAAAAAAAAAGGTCATGATAAAGGTGACACAGAACTTGGGAGACTTCAACAGCCCAGAACACACAAATATAATTCACAAAAGCTTCTCCCAGGCTAGGGAGATAGCTCAGAATTTGCTAAAGTATTTGCTTAGGAAATAAGACAACCCAAATTCAATCCCCAGAACTGACATAAAAAATGCCAAACATAATAGTGTGTGCTTGCAATCTCGTGACGTGAAGGTAGAAACAGGGGGATCTCTGGATTCCACTCACCACACAGCCTAGCCTAATTGATTCACTCCAGACCAATGAGAGATGTTGTTAAAGAGTGTGGGAGGCATTTCCGAGTATGACATTTGAGTTCATCCTGTGGCCTCCACACACAATTGCCCATACACACACAGCCATGTACACAAGAGCATGCCCCCACACATAAACCTATGCATATGCAAACATATGTATACACACCCACAAACACCACATTAAAATAATAAAAATAAAAGGCTTCTCACCTACTAGCCCAGCTCTTTTTCTACCATTGCTTCCTAGCTACAGTTTCCAGGTAAGACTTTAAATGGCACCCCAGGGTAATTCCCAGTGTGCAGAGTCAGCAACCATAGCACTCGGCTTTATAATTCAAGTCACTGATATTCCAGTGTCTTCATGTCTTTCCTCATTCTAAATGAGGTATTTTATGAACTCAGAATGGCTTGTTTAAATAACTATAGAGAGCATAGATTAAGTATAGAAAGTATATGCAAGAAAATAGGATTTCTTCCAGGCTAGTCTTAAAGGCCAGGAATGCTGACCATTTAGGCACAAAAGTCTGCTGACACATCTTTTCTGTTTCTGAAGCCCTCAGGCCAGTTCTTTGAGATGACATATTCTTTAGCTACTGAGCTGAAAGGACCTCAGTGTCCATCTCATATGACCATCTCCTGTTACCAACGAGAAAACCAAGACCCAAAGGAGAAAGTGAACTGTATATGAGTGACAGCTGCCTTTTGTTTTTGTTTTGTTTTGCTGGGGGGGGTTGCATTCTAAAGATAAAAACTGCTTCCATATATGTGAATGAAATTTAACCCAGCAGTTATTATTACTAAATAAACTTCAAAGGAAAATTGACTGCCAGATAGACTCTAGAGGCTGTAACTTCAGAGTCTTGAAGGTAGGAAATTAGGGCTAAGGAAGTAAAGCTAAGAAGGGAAGAGGAGGGGGGGAAAACAGGATTTTTAATTTTTCAAAATACCATGCTCCCACAATAGAAAACCTGTTTTCCTGGCCATAGAATAAGCCTTGCAGTTCAGTTTCCCCTGACACATCACTAAAAGGTATGTCCCCTGGGAGAGGTTTAATTGCATCAGCCCCCACCATCTGGTCCACCCAACCACCACACCAAACATTAATGTTTTAAAGGGTCACAAATCCCTTTGTCAAAGATATTATCTTCCCTCTTCTCATCTCTATCAGTATGATTTGACCAAGATCCAGGGAAAACACATTCCACCTATCTCTGCTCTCCTCCCGTTGATAAGTGAGGTTAAACAGAATGATCCATAGCATTGCACAGGCTCTAGAACAGTGCAAAAATTCTAGATAGCTAAGCCTCCAGAAGGTCTCTATCAAGAGAAATCAGGCTGCTAATTTCATGGGTAAATAGCTTCAATGTCTGGTATACCTCTCCTACTTTTTACTCCATTCCCCTCCTAGACCGAAGCTCACCTCAAGGACCTGGACGTGTGGCTTTGGCTTGATTCCCCCACCTCTGCCACAGAGTTGCTGAGTGACTTGAAGACAGGACCTTGTTTTTATCGTGCCCTGCCTGAGACTGTCCACAGAGGCCCCAGACACCAGCATTTTACACCTGTTCTTCACTTTTTGCTCCCTCCTGCCCTTGCCCGCTGCCCTTGTGTGCCAGGTTACCCTTGACTGGGGCCTTGCATCCTGTCTTCATCATCCCACAGAGTAAGGAAACACACCACCCTGAGGTTTGAAAACGCTCAACACTCCCTGACCTATTCAATGCCATCAGCCAGTCTATTTTTGGTGACTCTGTTTACTTTCTTCTCAGAAGAGCCTAATTCCGGTCTACATCTCAGGCATCCTACCACAGACACAGTACCCTACCGTGGCATCTTCTCCCTAAGTTCTGCCTTGTCATCTGGAGCCCTGAACAGAGTCGTATGTGGAGTGGGGATCAAGAGGACCAGAATGACGGTGTTCTAATTGGCCAAGGGGGCTTGAGCACCGCATTAGCTACATTTCTGGAGTTTGTAGACACAAGTGACAAGCACCCTGCATGGTCCAGCAGTCATGAATACACACACTCCCACCAGCTTCTATATACCAAAAACCCCACTTCCTGTAAACAGAGACAAGCCCAGGCATTTGCCTGGACTGTTAATCCTATCCTGGTTTACTTTGAGGTAGCTGTCTCTCTCTCTGACAGGCCCATTAAAAATAAGTTCCATTTTGTCTGTCATTCACTAGGGAAAGACTTCCTGACATAAAGCAACCATGGAGGAAATGAAAATTATCAGGCCATACCCAACAAGGGATTCGAGGAGACTACACAGAGTAACCTTCTAGAATAAAGAACTTAAAAAAAAAAAAAACTAGGGTTTTAAAGTGGTTGTAAAAAAAATAACTATGAAATAAATTGCTGCAAATGTGTGAGCTTGCTCACCAATAAATGTGCACACGCATATTGCAGCCCTTCAGATACATGGCCAGTGATGGGAAAAGGGCTTAATATTGTCTCCTTCAGAATTACAAAACAAAACAAAAAACAGATCTCTTGAGTATCTGCAGGTACATACGATAGGATCTGTTACTTCTCTCTCTCTCTCTCTCTCTCTCTCTCTCTCTCTCAACATGGATTTCTTGATTAGATATTTGCTACCAGAATGGATAGATACATCAGTGACCCAAAGCTTCGGGGTGACAGCTCATCATTACACACATTGGGGTTTTTGTATTAGAAAGAAAAAGACAAAAAAAACAAAAACAAAAAAAAAAAACAAAAAACAAAAAAAAAACCCTGGGAGCAGAGCCTCTCTGTCCTAAAGCGTGCCCTATCAATGCTACTGTTGAAATAGGAAGGAAAGGGGCACCGAAGGATATCTAGGTATCTGACCACACGTTGTGTTACCATCACCTAGTGGTGGTGGCAGGGCCCTCAACAGTTTTAGCATTCAGTCATTTCCAGATGACTGCAGCTGTTGTAACTGTCATTCAGCAAGAGCTGGCACATCTTACCGGAGAAGGATGGAGGTGCAAGCAGATGTAGACCAGGCACAGGAGCAGCCCCATGCCCTGAATCCCGGAGACCACCATCGATAGCTTCTTCCACTTGAACCTTGGCCTTGATCCATTTTCCAGACTCTCCTCCAGGGGTTGAACCCCTTCTCCTTCCATCTTCACAGTCTGCGTGCAGAGAAGATGCAGCTATGGCAAAGGGGAACCTGAGGAAGGCTGATCCTCACCACAAAGAAGACAAGGGCAAAGCCAAGCCTGTGGGTCAGAAGATAGACAAAGGTTCCAGAACCTGAGACAACAGGCAATTGAAGGAGTGGGGCAGACTCTCTCAGTTTTAACTCTGCAGATTTTGCAGGCGGGGGAACTTCTATGTGACTAATCTGAATTTCCCCTTTACTTTCTTTCTTTTTTTTTTTTTTTTCCCTCTGGGCTAACAGGGAGTTGTTTTTGTGGCATTCCAGTTATGAATTGAGTGACTTCGAAATGACGGTCACAAACATGTGCTGTTAAGTTTTTTTATTGCACTCGTAACGATAGATAAAGATCATCTTTTTTTCCCTTTTCTTTTTTCTTTCTTTCTTTCTTTCTTTTTTTTTTAAGCACCCTGCTTATCAATCCCTTAAGATGTCTTAAACCACAGAAGAGATTTGAGGAAAATGCTGCCCTGACAGCCTTCTCTATTATGCAATTAATCTCCAGGCCCACTTTACAGATTCAGAAATAAAATGCTTGCAGCTTGTTCTTGAGATGCAAAGGAACACTGAACAGTGGAATCTGCAGATAGGTATAAAGGTGAGGTCTTATTGTTACATAACACATTGCATTAAACCAAATAAATTAGTATATATTGAGCAACTGCTATGTGTCAAATGCTGTGTTAAATGACCTTGCAACCATCACATGTATTCATTTCAGCAAAACTCAGTAAACACATAATTGATTTTCTTAACATCAGAAAAGAAGCATAAAGAAGAAATTCCTGTCCCCTCACCCCATTGCTCCATTTTATATTCCCCCACACACATAATTTCTGCATGAGTAATTCAAGTAACCTTTGAGCGTTCTTTGAAGTGTTGGCTGGACTCAGAGCCTGCTGAGTAAAAATATCTTCCCAGGGCTGGAGAAATGAGCTAGTGATTAAGATCACTGGCTACTCTTCCTGAGGACTGGGGTTCAACTCCTTACTCTAACATGGTGGCTAACAAGCCAGCTGCAATTCTACTTCTAAAGGATCTAATGCCCTTTTCTGACCTTTGTGGGCACCAGCCATGCAAGTGGTGCACATACATGCAGGCAGAATATCCATATATTTAAAAACTCAAAAACAAAAACCTATACAAATACATTCTTCCAATGGACATTGATTACCCTTTCTCAGTGGCGTGCACAATGAAATTAAATGTGAAATAATAATGTCAGCTCCAAAATCACAAACTGTTTATTGAGTATGCGATATGAAGTCAATAAGATAGCATAGAGATGCTCAACATAATTCTCTCTCTCTTTTATGAGAACATATGTCTCATGGTTTCTCATGGAGCTTTCAACAGATATTTAAAGAAGAAAGTAAGAGAAAAATATTCTGAATGCTAGAAATATAAAAAAGTACATTATACTTCAAATTTTTCACAATTAAAAAAATGTCATGGATATGAGGTATGGTCAAGAGAAAAACAAGTTGCAGGAAATGGAAAGTACTTTGCCACAATATTCAACAACTTAAGTAAGTCGATGCCTCCATTATAGTAACAAGATTTTGCATTTGAATTACATACTAGGAGCTAAGGCATGCATTAGGGTTGTAAGGCCAGAAGTGGGACTCAGGTTCTGCATAAGCTACTCTGCCTCAAAGATTACCTCAATGAAATGTGAGCAAGGCATAGAGTGTGAAGACAAAAGATTTAACTCCTGCCTTACATAATACACAATAGCTATAACCAGTAACATTTTACTCATCTGTTTTCAAAAAATGACTGAAAGAGATGATAGGGGAAAAAGCCCTAAACTCTAATAGAAACTAGAAACAAGCTGTAGAAAATGCATCATGTTAAAAATCACGAGAAATAGTCTGGTTAGGTGTGGGGGGGATGTGCATGTGAGAGGCATGTGTATGTGTGTAGAGGCATGTGCTTGTGTGTGGAGGTATATGCATGTGTGTGGAGGCATGTGCATGTGTGGGGGACAAGTGCACTGCATGTGCGAGTAGTAAACATGTGGGGAGGTACATGCATGTGTGTGTATATATAGTGGCTGGAGGTCAATGGACATTAGGTATCTTCTTCAGTTGCTCTCCAACTTAGTTTTTGAGGAAAGGTCTCTGACTAAGCCAGGAGCTTGCATTTTGACTAGACTGGCAAAAATTCAAGGGGCCTCCTGTTTCAGCTTCCCTAGCTCTGGGGCTCTAAGCATGCTCCACTGCAGCCAGCTTTGATATGGATGCTGGGGATGAAATTCAGAACCCCAGGTTTGCACGGCAAGTACATTACTGACCAAACCATTCCCCCCAAGTCTTGGGAATATTTTAAATGACTGCCAAAGGGGCAAAAAATAAATAACAAACATCTGCAAACACAGACCTGTGCAGCATGCATGTACCTTCCCTTACTATTAGCATCATGCCCCTCGGAAGAAAAATTAATAATTACTTTGTTCTTATCTGCAGTGGGAACTGTAGAGCTGTTAGGTATCTTGGTCCCTGAGACTGCACAGTCATGCTGTGAGTCTCCCTATGTCTTCCTCCTGCTATGCTTTGCCTCCTGTGGTCTCAACTGAAGTTCGAGTGGTATCTTGCACTTGTTTCTTCTTCTCTTGGCTTCTTCACAGCCCTTGTGGAAGGAAGAACACACAAAATTGCGCTTAGAAAACAAGCTGGTCATTCCTTTGATAGACTATGTGAGTGTCTCAAAGCTATCAGTGGGCTGCTCTAGCATCTAAACACCACTGATTAAAAAGCACTGTCAATTACATCATCGGTGGCATTTTACTCCTAGGCAGATGGGTGGGGATATCCATCTTGAAAATGCTTTTTAATAAAACATGTCGAACTGTTTGTAAAGAATTACTAACTCTGTGAGCAGTGTGTTTTAAGACTCCTTGCACAAATAAATGTACCTGCCAGAATAAACTAGCTTTGGTAAAATCAACCAAAGTGATTACTTCTCACAGGCATTAACCTTCTATAGGAAGAACCAAAGCTATAGAGAAGTATGGAAAATAAAAATACTTCAAAAGCTGACAGAACATCTCATGTTCAGAAAGTAGCAAAACTTTTGGGGGCTTTTTTTTGGTTTGGGGATTTTGTTGTTGTTTTGGGGTTTTTGGTATTTGGGGCTTTTTTGTTTGTTTGTTTGTCCATTTGAAATATCTATGTATGTCATCATTTTCCATTCAGTAAGCCCAGGCCAGGTGCCTTACTCCTGGTGCTGGGGAAAACACATGACTAAAACACATCTTCATGAACAATCACAGATAGGAAGGTGGGATGGCCATAGCCTGGAAGATGCTGGCACTGAGGTGTTAACAAAAGGAGGAAGGATGCAGAGGGAGCGGGGCCATTCTACACTGAAATTTAAAAGGCAGTAGCTTTCATGAGATGAGTTGGGTAAATCTTAGAGGAACCAGACATCGGGTCTTCTAAGGAAGTAGGATCAGACAATGGGACAGAAGCAGCCAGTACACTCTGGGTAAAGCTTGCTTGTGCCTTGTACATTCATGAAACCGCAGCTGGAGTGGTAGATGGCGGGCGAGTGCCTGGGAAATTTTCCTGAAATGAATTTTGTTACAAGTCAAGGACTTTCAAATGTTCCTTGAAGGAGCTAAGGAAACCCTTGCAGGCTTAAGTAAAAGATGATGTGAATTATATTTTAGACTATTTTTTTATGAGGACTCTGGATAAGTCCAAAACAAATGGCAGGTAGGTGTGTTCTGTGCCAACCAAAAATGTAAGCATGCTTTATATTATCACCTCTGTTTCAACTCTCCAAGTCCTTTGTCTTTATCTTCCTACAATGGTATATCCTACTTCCCAAATACTGAAGGGCTGCACCCACCCAGATTGATGCTCTAATTTATGAACTCAGAGAGGGTGCTTTGTTATAATTCACACAATTCTTTAAGTGAGAAATAGTATGGTTATAAACCAAAGTAAAGAGACTAGTTAATGCAAAGATAATTACAGTGGCTCTTCGTGTACAAAATATGTGGCACAAGTAGTTATAATGAAGTATCTTGGGTAATTAAGATCATGGGAAGTGATGGAATTAAGTGCATTTTCAAATACTAGTTTTGTCCTTGGTATTTTCAACCTGCTGTGGATGCCCTAGTTTGGCCACCCAGGAAGCTCTGAGTCTTAGAATTATTATTGGCTGAGGCTTGACGATGGTGGCACATACCTTTAGTCCCAGCACTCAGGAGGCAGAGGCAGGCCAATCTCTGTGAGTTCGAGGCCAGCCTGGTCTACAGAGTGAGTGCCAGGACAGCCTCCAAAGCAATACAGAAAAACCTTGTCTCAAAAAATAAAAAAAAAAAATAATATTTATTTACCCTTTATCAGTCAAACTTGGCAAAGCTCTCTGTTCCCAAAATGTGGCTGCTAGACTCATATTGTCTTACTCTTTCCATCCCTACTGCTTTTCACACAAATCTGTATTCCCTGCCAGTTGGATTCCTAAATTAAAGTTTCAATCCCTCTCTCTACTTCCATCCTCATTGACTCCCAAACCATTTGTTTCTTATGTTCAGTGAGATCATAATCATATGAAGAGTTGCAATTCTCTGGGTTTGGAGATGACTCAACAGAGAAAGGGGCTTGTTGCCAAGCCTGATGACCCGAGTCCAAATACATGTGAACACACACACACACACACACACACACACACACACACACACACACTTAAAAACAAAAGAGCTGAAATTCTCTGCTCCTACTTCGTGTGTTTCCTCTCCAAACTTACCTCCCTCTTTTTCTGCCTCAGATACATTTGTGTGTCAACTCTCACCACCAAAACCCTACACACTTCTCCAAGAAGAATGCTTTGTGAGGTAGGGGCTTTCAAAAATGAGCTAAACAAAAACCTTAGAAGATGAGGCTGGAGAGATATCTCAGCAGTTAAGAGTGCTTCCTCTACTTCAAGAGTTCTCAAGCTCACTAGTGACTCACAATGCTTGTAACTCCAGCTCCAGGAAATCCAACACTTCCAGTCTCTAAGATCGCATTGTGCACGTGCATACACACACACACACACACACACACACACACACAAATGCACATGTACACACAAAGCTAAAAATATAATAAATCTTGCAAACAAAAACT